CCCCAAAACCCCAAAACCCCAAAACCCCAAAACCCCTAAAACGTAACCTTAACTTGAAAATAAATGCTCATCATTACCGCTTAGAGTCCCTCACTTTTTAAGTCCCCTTGTTTCCTAGCTGAGGGAAGAAGGAGTCTATAGGAAGGTGAGAAATTAGGAAGTAAAATTTTGAGTGAAGAGGGGAGGGATAGAGGAAGATTGGGGGTTTTGAGGGTGAAATTGGGAGGTTTATGGGGGTTTAGGAGGGAAATTTTTGATGAGATTGTGAAGTAGGGAAGAAATGTGGTGGAATTTGGGGTGAGAGATAGTATTGGTGGGCTGTATGGGCTCAGGTTTATGACATTTTTGTTTATTACATGGACTAGGGGGGTAGTGTTATGAGAAAATGAAGAAATTTGTCAATTTATTTTTAATCAAGGAAATATTTCATATTTTAATAAATTCAGTACAAATTTGTGCTCAGGAAGAAATTTCGAGATGTGGTAAATTAAGGAGAGGAGTGAATTATACAAGGCTTACCTAATCTGGCATCAAAAGTATCACTGTTTAAGTACTCATCCAGAATATTGAAGGAGCCTTCTTCAGGACTAAGAGATCTGTAAACTTCGAATTGATACCCGCTCGATTTCTGATGCAAGTGGTTAGGTTTACTCTGCATGAAAGATTGAGTCTTCAGTACGTCAATATTAGAGCCATTATCAGTCTTAACACTTGGTTTATGATGGTATCTCCTATTTTCGGAAGCATTATGTCTTGAAGGAGAAGTTATTATTTCTATAGAAATTAGAAAATTTCTGAATGTTTCGATACTTACCTTTATATGTGCTGGAAATCCTCGAATTTGATGGTTTATTTCGACTCCTCTATGATATTGAACTTCTGTAATTTGTTCAATCCTTTCAGGTTATATTTCCTAATAAAATTATTAACCATGAGAAGAATGAATCTTAATTTTGCTGGGATACAGAAATATCACCTATCAAAAGACTTCTTGGAAAACAATAGTCAGATTAGACTTTATCAAAACCTGGAATAATTCCCCCTACTTTTTAAAGACTTCTTTCCTATATGAAGTCTTATTCGGCATTCTTAGCTTTAAGGTATTAATCTGGACTTTTTTAAGAGCTTCAAACTTGGAATTTCTCTGCATTGGGCTCAGATATCTAAAATTTAAGCAACTGAAATACTTTGCCCTATTCTTCTTAACAATAGAGTTAGGTGACAAAAACTGGTTGTATTTGAGCCGATTTGGTGACACACTCTTCATGCGATTGGATAGTATATTAGAAAGTCTAAAATTATAACCTCATTGGTCTTTACCATTGAGACCCTGGGAGGGTTTTGAATTTGGTCCTTTTGATAGCCTAAAGTTATATTTATTAGTCACCACAAAGTATCATAATCAAAATTTGGCGAACTGTGTTAATTAAATTATAAGAACTAATTTTGACACAATATAGAATCCTTAGTTAAGTATGTATCAAAGTGCATTAAATGGTTTGATTCTAAAAGACAAACTCAGTCTTAATAATAAAGCTCAGCATCATTAAAACCCTCGGAATGAAAACAAGTATGTTTCATAGTATGTGAGGTAGTTTCATCAGAATTTCAAAGAAGCCTTACCTTATTTCTAACTTTAATTTTCGATGCTTTCTTTCCCTGGTTGAGAGAAGCAGAATCTGGATTGCTTAATTCTCTCTAAATGTCTTAATTAGATGCTGATAAATTATTTAAGCTCATAAGGAAAGAAGACTAATAGCTGTGATGGATATTAGAATACCAAGCGTATTTTATGAGCAGTGGAATCTTCTTGAGACTTTGAGTTTTACGATAATCTAACAAAATTTCTTTAAAACATCAAAAAATTCAATTTTTTATATAAAATGGGCAAAATAGTTGTAGAATTATGAAATTGGTAAATTGTGAGAGAGTTATGATAACTAAATTGATTTATCATTCTTCTTTTATTCCCTCTGATACTTTGAATTAGATGAATTCACCACTAATTGTATATAATATAGCACAAAACATTCAAAGACTTTATTGAAAAAATTTGTACCCTAGCAGGTTATTAAACTAGTCTTTGCCCAAAATATCAACAAATGAAGCTATTTCTTAAATTATAATGTTTTATCCCAAAGGATGTATGTATCAGCTAGCACATATCAGGTTATTCTATAAATTGTGTACTTTACAAACCAAGCCCCTCAGTCCAAAGCCTGAGCACAGAACCCAGACTTACATTAACTTTCACAAAGATTTTATCCCTCTTGACAGCTCTTGAAGGGGAGAATATAGTTCTTGTATGCCCTTTTGCCATTTTTAAAGCCTTGTGTTCCATTTTTAATCAACAACTTCAATAATTTTAGAATGCAGTGGGGTTTTGGGGTTTTGGGGTTTTGGGGTTTTGGGG